CATAAAACAACAATGATCTAAGTCTAAGTAACGAAATAAATCAAAATATAATGGACAAGAAAACTTATAGTTTCCATTTCCCTTGGTAATTTTGAAGCAGATAACCACTGGCTTTAATATAGTATGAAAAGACTACCTACAGCACTTACTAGAGGAAGGCCAGTAGCCCATAAGTTTATTCATGGGGCTGAGCTTCTACGCCTGTTTCCAATAACAGATACCTAACAATTGCAAAAATGTCAAAGTGCACGGAAAGTTGTTCTAGTTTCTACAAGGTCCATATAATAAACAACGAGGTCCTGAGTTAATAAAAAACCGACTTCAAAAAACCAAAAACTAATAACAAATAAAAAGTCTAAACTAAAAAGAAAAAAATAACTATTATTAGTACTGATAGGTTACCCACCCACTGATAGGTAAGAAGTCGCTGCCATAAGTTCCATAAAAAATTATTCATTAAAACCTTAATAGGTACCTAATTCACAATTTAGTGGACAGTTATATCATTATGATATGAGCTTATGGCACCGACTTCTAACCTATCAGTGGGTGGGTAACCTATCAGTACTAATAATAGTTATTTTTTTCTTTTCAGTTTAGACTTTTTGTTTGTTATTAGTTTTTGGTTTTTTGAAGTCGGTTTTTTAAACGCAGTTTTTATTTTATTATTTTATCATTTTCAGTGTAAAGCTACATTTACCCGTTTTGTTACTTATAATATACATAAGTGTAAAGTCCTCATCAATACAAATTAATCAAGCCAAACACAAGGTAGTTACTGTATACCGTTGAAGAGTTCCCTTAGCAATTACACTTCTTCATCATCAGACCTTTAATGACAGCCCCACTCTATCTAGGTGTAAAGTCCTCATCAATACAAGTTAATCAAGCCCAAACACAAGGTAGTTAGTATAAACCGCTGAGGAGTTCCCTCGACTGTCTATCGGCTCCATCATCAGGTCGACTCCAGACCCTTATTAAATTGTAGTGTTTAAAAATCCTAATTGAAAAACATAATAGACGCATCACTCGCCCATATAATTTTCGAAAGTTCCCCTCGGTTTCCCTAGGATCCCATCATCAGATCCTGACCTCATGGAAATGGGACCATCTTGGGAGTATACCCTTTCCAACAAAACAAAAATTTTGCAAATCACTTCGCGCATCTCAGAGTTATGCGGGTACATACATACAAAAAAAAAGCAACATACCGGCCGAACGTATAACCTCCTCCTTTTTTGAAGTCGGTTAAAAAGTACCTAATTTACTCTGAGTCTGCCGTTGTTACCATATGACGATTAGTCGTACCACGAGGAAAGCCATACAAATTCACTTCGTAGTACAATAACAATGACGAATGTTGCTATACCTATTTTGTGGTGTACAAATTAACACATACATTGTCCCTTGATCTCTGAGACAACTAATGCACTGATTATTCAGTTCATCGATTTCCAAAATTTTCAGTACTGATGTGTGAAGTCTTGGATTTGTATCTGATGTTTGGGTATATGTTCATGCCTGATTGTTAGTACATAATTATATAGGGTTAATAGTGAGTAAATCATGCTATATTAGAGCCCCTTCACTCTAGCGTTTATCCAGCATAGGCGTTCGATAAACGTACGCGTCGCGCAGGCGTTGCGTTGCCGCGGCGTAAGACGGACTCCGCTCTTAGGTACTATAGAGCTTCATATCTCGGGAATTACTTATGTCTCTATTCCATACTTTAACTATTTACTTATAGTTCTAATCATGTCATTTTATCGGAACTTTAATAAAATCTTTTACATGATACTTGATGTACCTTTGTTTTTAATAAACCTACTTAGATATTATTTCTCAATAACAACTTTGTGGCGTTCTAGTGATTAAGGTGCCCGTTTCTCAAACTTAAGAGGTAGGATAGAAATCTGGCAAGAATCAATGAGACTTTTCCAAGTGATGTATAGGTACTTTCTTAGTTTATTTAGGCAGGGAAACGTCGTGAGGAAACGTCTTCATTCAGTGTGGTGATCAACCCAGCACTAGAACGGCGACACGTTGACGATGAAGAGATCTTCTCTCGTTTTGTATTTCACATACTGGATTTCTGAAACACGTCATTGAAAATATTGGTATCAACCCTTCTATTACTAAGTAATTAAGTTCACATGGAAACATTTTTGTAGGTACTAACACGAATTCAGACTTGCGTGGCAAACTTCTAAAAATGGGTAGTATGCTAATTGATCCAACATCCATTGCTGACCCCGTTACCTTTTTTGGACATCTACAAATATTACGAGAACATAAAACACAAATATTTATTACCCATCAACATCTTTTACGTCTACTCCATTCTCGGTCCCCTGGCCGCTAAAAAAAGATTTTTTGATTGGTTTACTCTCAACTCAAAAACATAGTTCATTCTCTACCTCTAGGGGCTAAGAGTAAATTAAACAAGGGGCAGGCATATCTTACGGCCCTTAATTCGAACGTACTTTTGGTACATTCACGTACAAATTAAATACAAAATTCAGGGATTATTACGGACAATTTATTTTACGGAATCATTCTTTCAGATTGTCGTATTTTTTTATTTAAATACGTTGCCGCACACTAGGATTTTTTCCTGTGTCGTGGGTGCGTTTACGAACATACAAGTTCACATACACATGACACCCAATCCCTAAACAACAATTTGTGGATCACACAGTGTTGTTCCGTGCGGGAATCGAACCCACGACACGATGCACGGCAGCCGGTTGCCCAGCCACCGCACCAACCAATATATCTATATTTGAGCACAATGTGAAAGACAATAAGTTATTTAGAGGTAAAATTAAAATTAGGATTAATTGTTGAGGAATGGGTCCTTTCATAGATCTCATCAGTTCTTTTGATAACAATCCAGAAGTAGTCCTCCTCATTACTGAGAAGTTATACATTTTAAATTTTAAACCGCAAATAATTTACGTAGTTAAATAATATTAAAATTACAATTATGGAAGGTATTTTATATACCTAAATAATATTATAGTAGATACTAAAGAGAAAAATATAGATACGGATAATAATTGTACTTTGGGGATCGAAAGAAAAATAAAACTTGGCTGAAAAAAATCCACCCTCGGTTCCAAAAGGACGAGAATACACTATAATTCGGTATCCAATGGACACATGAATTAACGAGGGCCAAGGAACCGAGAGTGAACTAAAGTTTATTTTATAATGAATAAAATATAAACATGTACTGAAATATGCAAAAACTCAATACCTTTTTCTCAACCTGCCTGCAACTAGACAATTACTTACCTCTGAAACTTCTAGAATAAAGAAGCAATTAACAAATAAGCAGTTAAGATATATAAGACAAAATGGTAATATATACTAAAAGTATATAATGTTAATAATAGTTGCCCCACTAGGTCAAATCAATATCATACCACTTGTGACGTTACTAATTGAATTACTGGTTGCCACTACCATTCTAACGTACCTACATTATGTGACCTCCACCATGTACATACATAACATCACGCCTTTTATCCCCGAAGGGGTAGGCAGAGGTGCACATTATGCCTCTGTACAATGTACCACCCACTTTTCACTATTTATGTTATGAGTCCCATGTAATAGGGGGTGAGCCTATTGGCATATACCGGGCACAATTCCAGACTCCGTGCTACTACTGAGATTTTTATAAAACTAGGAATACTTAAATAAAAACCTCCACCATTTGTATGTTTTTATTTAAGATTGTATGTACTGTAACAGTATTGGAGGTATATACAAAGAAAATAATACCTAATATCGTACACATTGAACGACACTCATGAGTCTTGCCCCTTAAAACGTCATCATCACAGGAAAATAGCGTTCAACAGTCAGGTAATTCCGAAACGACTCACTTCCATTACGTTTTACTTTTATGTGAAGCCCTGTTTTCCTTCGTCCTTTCTATAATCAAGTCGTGTTTGTTGTGAATAACTGTTTTGATCGTGAAGTTTCAATAAATCCCAGTGACATCAGAGTCTAAAAGAGCCAACTTCCAACTGACATTAATTGAGTGCGACGCCGGGACCGCTCGCCGCGACTGTTCCAATCTAACCTCGTTTGCATCACTCGTCTCACTACCAACGACGCAGATTAAAACGTGTATTTTTATAAAATGACCCTCTATATTATTGGTTTTGTCGTCGCTCTGGTGTTGGTAAGTTGTAATTTTTTTTTTCATTCACTATCGAAATTGTTCTCATAATTATGAACAGTTTACCTCACATTAATAATCACATAAAATTTGTTAGCCAGTAATAATTTATAATTACGGCAGTAGCAATCGACGTCTTGCTAATATCGATACCGGTTGATAATATTAAAAATTCAACATGGCGGCCTTAGTGCGTCATTTTACGAAGAATTGGTTTTAAATGCTGATATGTAATATTGTTTTTCCGTCGTTGCAGGCAGCCTTCGTTATCATGTGGATAGCGTACTGCATGTTCATACGGGAGCGACACAAATCAGAATTCTTCCATCATAACATTTCGGATCTTCAGCGGAAGAACTATATAATGGACTTAGAGCAGAACGAGGATGAAGTACCCACTAAGAAAGAGATGGCTGTAGGTGTGTTCGTATTGCCGTCACGACATAAGCAAAAGATCGAAGATTACGATAAGCGACCTGATTACCCGGAGAGTCCTCCGCACATCTCGCATCATAGCACTGATAAGCTAATTGATATACTCGGCGACACTGCCGATGTACACTACAGAGATGGCATTTACGAGGTTGACTCACCCAAACTATGCGACACAGATGTATAACACCACATTGCACCACTTTGTGTCATCTCCTTATTAAGGATGCACAATACAACTGTTATGTATAGGTAATCAATAAGCACAATATTATATTTTTGTAAAAACTTTTTATGAGATATGTTGCAATAAAACATTAAAATAAAATGATACTTTTATTTATCACTTAAATTATAAATGTTTCAATAAACCTACGATTATAAAATTCAAAATGAACTGAGAAATGAGTATGAATGGTTTCAAACGTATATTATGTATTGGGGTAAATAATTGTTTAATTACTTGACCTGCAATCTGTAGCATGTAAATAGCATTGCCATCGGAGGATATTATATTAGTTAACATATTTTGTATCCAACTTAATTCCAAATAATCAAACAATAGAATTACATCAATAACTATATTATTATGAACTGACTTGTGTCGCCATTCCAATAGCGTGTCAATACTTGTTCTTACATAAGCACTAGTAGGTATTGCAAAGATCGTGTTATTTTGTGAAAGTCTTATACCCGTCTGTTATTTTGTCAATGACGCTCTTCTCCGTCGGCTTGAATACATGCACGACCGCGTCACCAGCGTCCGACAGTGTCTTCACGACCTCACTCCACGCGTTCCTCATGGTATCCATCACATCCCGCCTCGAGCGAAACACTTCCCTACGATCCGAGGGAAGAGCCGACGCGACTACGATTACAAACTGCAACGATAGAAAAGTAATCGTGTTCAACAGCTCGTCGATATAACCAAAATAAATAAAATAGGCAAAAGTACTTACAAAACATAGGAGAATAGTCAGTCGTAAATCCATAGTAAACTTTACAACGTTACTTCAATACAAGTTCCGTTTTGTCCAAATTAGCTATCAATAAATGTTTGGTAATAGTATCGGGTCGTCTATTACTACAAATACAACAATGGTTGTGCTGAGCGCTCAACGTACTAACTCCTACTGCTCACAAAGGATCAACAGGAAGGTCTGAATTCACTTTTGCACGCACGTGTGTCAGTGTAATCAGGCGAGCAGACAAATTTACTGGGGACAATAGAATGTGACGGACAAGGGCTATGTCAGAGATCGTCAAACTTATATAATCAAATGTTATTACAGTTCAGGTCATTTTATAATATGTATTTATGAATGGTCATTTCTCGTGGAAAAACTAAACACGTAGTTGTTTTGTTTAAAATTCTTTCTACTTATAACCATGTAATAAGTTGAAAGTATTTTTATGCCTTTATTTTTATTTAAACAATTGATTGAAACACCATCCTTATCGCAGTGATTGAATTACCGGTTGAACAACCACAGCGAATTGCAAATTAGTAATGAATTTACTATCCTAATCAATAGTGTACCGAATTGATATCGAAAATTCAACCATTAATCATAGGTAATACTAACAGTTATAAATTGCTAATGCTACTGCTTCATATTAGTTGACTATTTAATATGGAACGACTGCCTTCCGTCTGGTGATCGGTAAAACGACACTTACCACTACTACAGCATAATCTACATTGCCTGAGGGGTACACGAACAAATCTGTTTTGACGTTACAAAAATGCATAATTTTATTAACTGACTTCGAAATAGGGTTAAATCTACTCTTAAAAAGTTAATCTTTCGGAAATGTATAATATCTCACAACTATGTATTTGTCTCCCATCGATAAGAGTTTATACAATTGTTTTCATGGAGGGCTGTAACACCAACATTAAAAATTATAAAAAAACATCATGGCAGTAACACATTTTGCCAACCACAATAAATATAAAATTCTCTGCAATAGAGAAACCAGGAAAAACCGAAAACAAAAAAATCTTAAGAATTTATACCAATTTTAGAAGTTTTGGCCACCCTGGCCGCAACCTAAATTGAGTAATAGGCGTAAGCCGGAGGTGACACGCCGATCCCACTGAATCACAATACTACAGTCAAATAAATGTATCATTCTTCTCAAAGTACTCACGAGTGATTTTTTTATTTACCACTCATCCGAATAGTGGGAAGTAAATAAATTGCACTGACGTTCATGTTATTATGAATCATTTCGTACTGGATGAACCGAACAATAGAGTTACCTACCTAAACACATCTGATGAACCTCACGTAGGACTAATGTTTATACTAAACCCCAATTATTCTGTTGTGATTAAATTCCAAAACAACCTCAGCTTCTCAAAGTTAAAGAAGTTTACTTAACGCCTTATGTGATAAATTAATAATATCCTATAAAATGTATATCTAAACAAGTAACACAATATTAAAAGTTTTTGATAATTCACAGAATAATTTCTTAGCACTAGCACTTTTCACTTACAAAAGTATTGGACTTAGCATTTTATAATCTTACTTTTTCCTGTTAATCAATCAATCTACTAGATTAGTTCTAGTGTCATTCAATCAACTGCAATAAACTTGTACTTGAAGTGCAATCTCGTGAGCAGTTCCGTGGTCGTTGGTCGCACTCATACTAGAGCTACTCTACGGTATACGAAATAGACATAATCATGAAACTCCATGTGTCCTCTTTTTTCATTTCTGCAGCTTACTTCCGTGATCTCATTTCTGTTTCAGTCGTGTTAACCTGATATTTTTCGCCAACACTTTTTAAAGAAATTCCCAATTCCATCTCCAATGTCGACAAAGAAATGTTTTATACTACTTCCTATACTTGATATGCCGTCCTTGAACTTTTGCCATGCAGACTTTTCAAATGATCTCGTAACTTCGCGAGGAATTTCTTGTGCTAGACACAATATTGTGAATATAACCTGTGGAAATGAAAGGATTTTTACTTTAATATAAATGGTTAATTACATAAATGTTGAATGCAACATTAGACACAAAAATAAAATTACCAATATCAGCAAGATCACATTTGTCCATTTCATCATTTTCCTGAATGATGCTTTTGACACTCAATGATGTTAATAATCCTCCAAATGTTATTTAATTTGTTGTTTGGTTATTCCATGTATGTTTTGTTTGGTATTGACGAACTCAAATTTCAACGACGATGTACCATCTGTTATCAGCAGTCAACAGCAATCTTGAGATCTCACACTGCACTGTCTAATTCACGTCACTTCCATCTGCTTATAATTAAAAGTTTAAAAAATGGAATTATCTATATGGATAACCGCACACGCGAATGGTTTCATCGTAAAAGAGAATTCTGAGAAAAAAAAGATAACAATAATTTCACCTTCGACAATATGATCCTTACTACAACAATTTCCATTGAGTATTACTGACTCATCCGCGGTGACTTAGATATTTCAATTATCGTCAAATTACTATTATTGTCCGTGTTTATCCATTCCCTTCTATACTCCTAAATAAACAACATTAAAAATCAATTGTATTGTATCAAATTGAATTGTCATTTTAAATACATTTTTGGAATCGATAGCATGGTCTTTGTGCATGGTCATAGCACCGGGTGCAGTTGTAGTCATTTAAGTTAAGGATACACTTAGGGTCAAATGTCCTGCGGCACGTGTTGCCAGCGACGTTGGATGAAGTAGCGCGACGGTGCCGGACTTAGGTCGACATGTCTGGCAACATCAACGTCACTGTGGATGTAAGTTGCGCGTTGTCACCGTACCTGTCGTTCGACATGTCGCCGATACAGGTGGTGGGATATTTGTCCCCTAGTGTGTCCTTGGGTTAAGGGTGCTCGATATGATACGGTTGTAGGAGTCGAACTGAAAATGAAAACTACGAAGATATTTTTCAAAGTACTGTTATAGTCACAGAACATATAAAGAAGATGTTCTATGGTTATAGAAGTATGGTAGATACAAATTTGCGTTTCGACATGTAGGTAACAGGAAATTAGTCACTGAAAAGAGTCACTGACATCAAATTAACTGGTATGACATGAAAACTGAAGTAAGTAGGTTTCTTATCAACATGTCAATTAGATCGCTAACTGCGTACAAGAATTATTGTTATGTTCAAGAAAATAGATATGAATGCTATATAAATTCGCTCACGAAGAACCTTCCTCACAGGATCTCCACAATGACTTTTAAGGTAAGAACTACTCTTTTAATATTTAACCTCACACTAGTAATTAACAGAAACAAATTTGGGCAAACAAGTTTATATGCACCCGGTTTCTGAAAAGCTGATTAAGAAAAATGAACTCATCGACTGTTAAATCTTAACAGATATTTGCGTTGCGTTTTCAGTTCTCATTCTGTGACTTTTAGCTGCAGGATATCATCCAGCTGTGCACTTAGTAATTTTTGTGTCAATTATAATAGATGGTAGCTCATAAGCCAAATCGAATCACTAGCTGAGCCCGCGACTTCGTCCCCGTGATATAGTTATTCACATCCCACCTCCCCCCACAGGTGATAGCGTGATAATATGTAGCCTATATGTCGACACGACCCTTTTTGAGTTCATTCCGGATATACATACAGACAAACAGACAAAAATTCTAAAAACCATATTTTTAGGTTCGGTATCGGTTGTAGATCACGCCTCAAGTATCCTTTTAAAAAAATATTCAATGTACAGGATTCACTTTCCAACGATTTTATTTTATGTGTAAGTTAAATTATGAACTGCGTTTAATAAAACCGTCTTCATACCCTTCTGTTTTTGAAGTTGGGTAAATGGACTGAGAGTACATACATAGGTATCGTGATGCAATTTTATCAAACCCGCAACAACGTGAGAGCGTCATAGGTGCCTAGTAAACGGTACTCTGCTGATGATAATTCTTATCTAAACTGTTACAGGTAAACATATTAAGCGCTCTCCTCTTCGTCTGTTTAATCGGTTGCATCCATTCAGCAAGAATTAAGCGGGATGATGCTGATGCGTCTACAATACCTTCAGAACCTGCAACCAGCGAGGCCCTACCACCCAGCAGTTCTTCCACCACAAAATCTCCTCTAGATGTGAGCGCAATATTTGATAACTTTGGCCAGATATTCCCAGCTAATAACTCTCCAAACTGGATGCAAGGTGCCAGCGCCTGGTTTAATAACTTACCCAACTGGTTTGGTGGTCAGTAATATTCCTCTGTCAGATTTTTAACCTTATCATCAAAAATCTACTGAATTGTCATAAATTGAAGAACGATCAACCAATGGATTTGTACGTATTATATCTGCCATATAAAGATGTAATTATTGTAGTAATAAATAGTAAATGATAATTAATTGTTTTATTTTTTCTATGGGATAAGCCGATAAACAAGTATAGGTACGGGTCACCTGATGGTAAGCAATCGTCGTCGCCCATAGACACCCGGAACACCAGAGGCGTTACAAGAGCGTTACCGGCCTTTTAGCAGTTTGGAATTTGAGGATTGCTGGAGATTCAGGTATAGGGGATTTTGTGGAAGAAATGGGGGGGGGGTTAATTGAACCTCCGGTAACCTTACTCATACGACGAAACACAACGCAAGCATTGTGTCACGCCGGTTTTCTGTGATATCGCGTGATAAAAAGTACGGACTTACAAAAAAGAGTATCATTTATTTTAAGAATGTTTTTTTCGTGCTTTTTGCAGCACAAAAAATATTATTTTAAAATATAAAACATCAATCTATTTATTATACTATTATACGTATCTATAAATAAAATAATATCATTACTGACAGGACTATTTTATCCAATAAACCTGACATAGTGGTGATAGACCGACAAGTACGCTACACGATGATGTCACCATTCCCCATGACGAGAATCTCGTGAAAGCTGAGAAAGATAAACAAATAAAATATCTAGACTTAGCTCACGAGGTTGTCGACATGTGGAATGTGGATTCGGTTATCATTGTGCCGATAGTCGTGTTGGCCAATGGGTTAATCCCTAAAAGCCTCGAAATCCATCTCAGGAGGCTGGCGTTAGGTGGATGGATCAAGGGCCTGATACAGAAGACAGATCTCCTAGAAACGGCACGTACCGTGAGGAGGTTTCTGTCTCTGGAGCCCTAACCACCGGTAGCTTGGACCATGCTACTGGTCGGCTCCTATTTTTTATATTTTTAAATATTATTTTTTATTTTGTAAGTATTATTTAAAAATGTAATTTATAGAGAATTATATGGAATACATATATGGAATAAAATAAAGAGCTATAGCTCGACAGGGAGGTTATTGTACGATGTCTATACTAAATTTCATTCGATTCGGTCTAGTACTTTTCATAACATAGTGGTATTGTGTTAACAATTGAAATATCGGATAAGTTTAAAAAAATATATTAAATTTCGATGAACCGGAGTATTTTCTAAATGATTACTTATGTATTAACAATAAATTGTAGACTTTTTATAGTGTACATGGTTTTTTGAATTTTATAACAGACTGGAACTAGTTCAATAAACCTTATGTAAATAAGAGTATTTTAGCGTGCTCTATTAGTTTTACAGATTATAGAGGACGCCTAGATGATATAGAGGACAATACTCTATTTTAGAGTACGGTTGGCAACCCTAGTTACACTAGCGCTCAAGGCTGTAACGGCCGTGTGTTGAAACTATTCAACGGCGAGGAAATAGACAGTTTTTCATACATTTTGGAGCGTCGACGCACCTTACAGCCTAGCCTACAGCCTTGCTTTTATCTGTCAAATATAAAAGCTACAATATTTGCGCGTATTGACTTTATTTAGTTACAAAATATTCAAAACTCTTCGTTTAATTGAACGCATTAACGTACCGTATTTTATTATACCTGCTTTCATGTCTCTCCTGTCGAACCCAAAACTTCCTAATTATGTTCTAAGCTAGGAAGCTTAGCTTAGCGTAGGTAGCAGTAAAATAATATAGTCTCCGGTATGAAATCATTGTTTATTTCTGTACATTGCACTTTAACTTCGATTAAGCTACTGGTGGGGCCGATATTGCCTAATAACTACTCTGAGAAGAAATGCCGAAACAAACTCGGAAGTCTCAATCAGTTTCTAATTGCAAATAAAGTACATCAATCATTATTAACTGTTACAATCAAACTCAATATCAAATTAACAGGTTACAAGCTATACAGGTACACAGTAGGAACGCGCGTCGGTTTCTGTCGATAGCGTTGCGCGGCTGCTATGCTTTTTTTTTTTTTTAAGGGGGGAAAATCATCGAATGACTGCCCCCGCCTGGGTGAGGCGGGAGGGAGTGTCAGACTCTTACTGACTAAAAACCACCCCGTTCCTTCTCCTGCACGTCGAGCCGGAGCCCCGGTTACCCGTTAGGTTCTCCGCGACGCGGCTGCTATGCTACATGGTAACGCCGCCCAACTGATGATTCCTTGACTCCGTCGAGTTCCAAGAGGAGCGCCAGCGTTCCAATGACACCCTCGATTGCGTCATTTATATATAGATAACAAACTTTTGCCAATTGCTGCCGTGTTTTTATACAACATCTTCCATTGCTGTTTAGCTTCACAGCTATTTCATGCCATGCCTCTTTCGTTCGTTGTCAGGCGTGCGATGTCTGAGCATTTCCTGTTGCACGCCAAGATTTCCCTTCCAAACTCTCTACGATATGCACAAGGAATAATAATAATAAAACTTTATTCATTATAAGAAATTGGTACTATTACAGATAAATATCTTAATTTAAAATCAGAGATCACACTAGGTTTAATGCCTGTACTAGGAAGAATATCCTGTATCACAGGCGAGAGGAGCATTCACAATAATACTAATTCTAGGACAAGTTATTTATATAAACAAATTCCGTAACATAAGTAATAGATCAAAAATAAAGTAAAGTTGATTATTTAATATACATACATACACAAGTACATGACTACATAACATGATAGATAACTAAATATTAATATTATAGTATAAGTACATTTATTAAACAAGTAAATATATTAGCTTAAATACAAAATAATAGATAGATAAACATATATATATGTCGTAGAATGTAGGATGGAACGTCAAGTCTGAGCCGACTTGGGTGTATTCGGTTATCGGGTTGGCAACAATGAACTACACTAACTCCTCTTGTGTTGCGAGTCCATAGGCAACGCTGATTGCTTACCATCAGGTGGTATGTGCTCGTTTACCGACCTTTTTATAAGAAAATGAAGTTTAAGAGTGACAGCTGTAAAGAAGAAAACATTACAACTAATGTCACTGTCAACGGTCGGTAGAGGAAGGTGGACGGAAAAGTGTGTTGTCAACTACGTGCCGACTTCATCGCGTTCCAATATTTAATCAGTTTCAAGATTGCAATGGAAGACAGCCTACCCTTAAATAAACGCCCACGCACCGCTTCTACATCATATACTATATTATATATTCTACATATATTATATATTCTACACATATATATATATATATAAAACATTGTACGAACTATAGTACTGAAGAATTTGATACATCAACAGAAACATAATCTATTTAACAGTCCAAACGGTCATTCACTCGGTGTTACAATAAAATATGCTTGAACAGCAACAAATTGTTGAGTACGCCAACTTGTTGCGATGTTTATTAATGTGCAAGGAAAGGTTAATCAACTCTGTAATCTGAGAATATGACAATCACGCGTCCTCATAATCGATAGAGTTGATATACCTATATTCAGCTATTTTCCTAGCTGGACTGTTAGTGTCTCCGGTTTTATGTTTATTGGGCTTATTGTAACGAGAGCATGTAGGACTTTAGAGGATTCCGACTTTTTAATGCACGAGGATTGTACATGTCCTGCTTCTCCGCAGTGGCCACACGATGAGTTGATCTCTCTGCATGATTTTGCTGCGTGTCCATATAGTTGGCAATTGTAGCATCGCGTTACAAGCGTAAAGTCTCTGACGGGGCAAGAAGTCCAATTGATATAAATTCTCTCTTGAGATATATGGGCTTTACGTATCTTGTCTGGAACTTCGATGATGAAATTGCAGGTCGGCGCATCCTTTCTTCCCGATTGTGACTTAACTTGACTGATGTTAAAAAAGACTCCATTGTCATCTCCGGGAGCTTGTCAGACACGTTCTGTTCATAAATATACCTGAAGACATCAGCATCAGTCATTGATGACGGCACTCCTATTACTGCGATTCGTGGTTTGCGCTTCTTGGGTTCGTCTGCGAGAAGACCGGATAACGACAGGGCAACTGCATTCTTCACTTTTTCAGCATCCTGTTTCGACTCAGTGCTGATTATTACACCTCTATTTTGTGTCTTGCGGACTCCGCGCACGCGCAGCTTCATCTCACTAGGTCTTATAAGGGTTTGCACCATATTTTTAGTTTCCTCGCTAGTTTTCTGTTTATTGTTCGGATACACAGCGACAGAGGCCAGATTGTTTGGTCGAAAGAAATCGGATCCTTTTCTCGCACCATGTCCGCAAAAGACACATTCTTGGTTGTAGTAGAGTCCTTGAGAGATTTTTTAGTCTCATCAATTTGTTTCGACAGGTCACAGTTTTCAATTCATCCATTATGTTGACGGCTAGGCGAGCTTGCTGCTTCAGAGCTTGATAAAGGACAGCCATTTGCGAGACATCAGCTCCAATTTTACGGCTCATGTTTGATATTCTAAGCTTTTGCTCCGAATTGAATTTGCCTTCCGTTGCAATGACACATACTTCATTTAACTGCTGTTCAATGCTTGCCATCCAGTTCTGAATGTCGGGCGTGGACACAGCTTCTATAGAGAAGTCAGGTTTACGGCTGCTTTCTATTGGTGAGGCACAGGAAGCCAGGTTGCTCGGGAATTTATCCATTTTTATTCAAATATGATTATGTTTCCATTATAAATTACTAAATTTCAAACTAAGCAAAAATTATTTAGTAGGTCACTCTTGCGTTAATTCAACAATATGTATAATGCACACGTCTGTTCACATCGAACGTCAATAGTTGAATCTAAGGATGAAACTTAGATGAGTTATTAATAAATTTTAAAGTCTCAAATGTATTGATTTTAATAACAATAAATTCTAGCGTCTTGTATTATACCCCTATACTTATTATACTCTTTGATTATGACCATTATGACATTATTTAGACAGAGCGTCACTGCGCATGTTACAAAATGGGCGAAGACATCGTGATTCAACCTCAAAATGTGTTTGTAAAAATGTAAAATATTTATTATCTTATATATAAAAATGAATCGATGTTCGTTAGTCTTGCTAAAACTCGAGAACGGCTGAAAAGAATTGGCTAATTTTGGTCTTGATATGTTCATGGAAGCCCAGGAAGGTTTGAAAGGTGAAAAAAAAATTTTAGGCGGTACGAAGTTTGCCAGGTCAGCTAGTCTTTAGAGGTATATATATAATTCTGCTGTACGTGTGTATGTCATTGAACTCCTCCTGAACGGCTTGACC